CTTGAACATTCGCCAAAGTACATGATAGTTCTAGAAACGTTGCGTCACAGTAATCATGTGACTCGAAGACGCAACAATATATATTTCTGAGATACTTGTACACAACTTAAGCGCTAGTATATATTTGCAAACTAGGTACACGCTATTATGTATTTCTGATCTACTTGATATCACTATCAACAATCCAGTCGTAAAATATGTCAACAATGTCCAGATTCTGATATTTAAAATCGTTAATTAAAACCAAAGTTAAATCTCTCGAAAGCAGTGTTTACTGTACTGTGGGGAACCTTTTACCAAATACACCGCGCTAACTCGTTCAGTATTTATACCCCAGTGAGTAACTCACAAAACGGAAAATATATCTTTATTGTCTCGAGAAAAGGTGAGAGTGCAACGCTATCTGCCTCCAGGAAATGATCCAGCTTGTTGCTGCATCATCAGGTGACACTTTTAATTGGTGAAACGGTTTCTTTCGTTTGATATAGTTTATCAGCTTAGACCATGTTACATATCAATATAGGCCTAATGGTTAGGGCGCTCAACTAGCAATTTGTGGGTCATGGGTTCGAATCCTCTCACCGAATATGCTAGTCCTATCAGTCGTGACGGTCAGCCCTACTGTTCGTAGGTAAAAGAGTTGTCCGAGGATGGCGTTCATTAGCTGCCTTCTTTCACTTCCAAATTAGGGATGGCCAACGCAGATAGCCCTCGAATAGCTTTGCGCGAAATTCAACAAAGAAACAATACCAGTTGAATAAAAAAAAAAATACGATAGTGCACGTGAGAATTATTGTGTTAATATATAAATGTATAGTTACTGACGCAACACTACTGACTTCGAACAATGCATCGCACAAACAGTATAAAAGGTTTTCTTGGGTCCAAAGTGCATTTAATGTTGAATGGATAGAAATGTACTTTTTGTTAGCTCTGGTGATTTGAGTGCAATGTTTAGACTAAAAACAAAATATATGTACTCAGCTATGGAGTCCTTAAATGGTGTACTTTTAGGGCTGTACCTTAAAGTTAATCTTCTATCTTGTTAACTTGAACCAGTTCTGTGGTTTGATGTGTGTTTACTTATTATATCTCTAACGCATGCTCAGGAAGTTCAAAACACTCAATATTTAATATAAAGTAACAGAGCTTGACAATACTTCCAAAACGAGATTTAAAGATGACGTCATATATGCACGTACAGAATAATCGTTTCGTATCCTCGTTACCGAATAAAGTCATATAGTAAGAGTGAAGACTTTTTAACTGTGTATTTACAAAACTTTCTACGGTTTTATCTGAATGTGAGACACACGTAAACTTCGTTCTTAAATCTTATTTGATAATTAATACATTGTTGATAAAAAAAAAAAAAGGTCAGGAGCGGTGGCCGGAAACACCTGTGTGTGCGTTAGGTTGTGCAGACGGATGTTGTGTGTTGAGTTTTCTTTTAATACTGGCCTTAGACGTACACAAACCAATAACAATATTAGACACATAAAACAGTTTTTGAGACCTGTTAAAAAAATTGTCGAGTTAAAGGATTGGTTGGATTTACTTTTATGCAGTACTATCAATGATGTGAGAAACTTTATATATTTTTGTTTAAGAAATAAAACTGGGAATTTTTTGCTGTATATGTGCGGTAGGTTGTCAAAAAACAACAAAAAAACACAAGCCTGTAGTCGCAAAATGATTGGTTGATTTAACTGCTCTGCTGCACGCGCATCGAAGAGTTACGTAGCTGATAGTCAAGCTAGTCCGGCTCTCAGGAAATTCTCTCTGACGTATGTTTCATCGCTCTCACGTTTTTGCCTCGCGGCAGTAGAAGTGAATAAGCCCGCCTACGTTGGCGTGCCGCTGTTGCGTTCAGAAAGCGGTTCAGTTTCTTTGTCACTTTCCTCACTGCCGCTGTTCACTCGGGATCTTCTTTGCTGTCCTGTACTGTTTTCCCGGGTTGAAGCTATACCCTCCTTACTTTGAACACCTGTTCGATTCACCTCTCTGGCGTGTTTGTAAGCCCAACAATACATTAGAACTGAATTTCACTAAGAACGTAAAGACGGTAGAAAAAAAAACGAAAAACTTCTATTCTCCAATAGTGTGGTTTGACCATTCACCTGTTCTGCAAGATTCCATTGGATGTGTCGTTGATTTAATTTTGCCTTAGTAAGAAAAACGATTTACTTTTATTTAAGAGACTTCCACAACACGCGGTTAACAGATAAGAAGTTCTTGGGGTTTGTTTGTTGTTGTTACTTGGAAGAGATATTTTCGACTCAAATGGTAAGTAAATCGAATTTATTCTTGTGTTGCGTATACACCTGCATACACTTTGTTTTCCGTGAGTAGTTTTGGTTCAGGTTATAAGAATGAATTCCAGATAATACCGTACAATATGTTTGCTTGTATCACACTGGAAGAAATACCACCTGAAATGAACGCGCCACGCACGAGACCGTAGAAAGGTAGACCAAATGGCTTCTATATAATGTAAACCGTGGCGAGCTTCGTTTATCACCCACATTCCCTCTACATCCACCTCACCTGCCCTTCGCCATCAGTCTCTTGTAAATATTAGGTGCCAAAAATGGCTTTCCTAATTCACTTGATCAATGTTACCCTATGTACGTGTTTCACATTGAAGGTTCGAAGCGTTCCGTTGTTTGATTCCACAGTACGGGCTTGGTTTCCTGTATCCGCCTTAACCAACCCTTCCTTTGTGCAGAAACCAGTCCTGCTGCCGCTGCATTAGACGTCCCGTGGTTTCCAAACAACTTCCATGTTGGTTTCACAACGTAACTACCCGTTTTCGCCGGATATTTGCATCAAAGCAAGTGATATGGGAATGTAACATGTAACAGAGATAAATTTCAGTGGGTGCTTAAACAGTCAGTTGTACATTCGTAAAACTAAAAAAAAAAATGTCAATGGTTATGGTATGTATTGCTTAATGTTACTATGACTTTTTTATGTGATATGGGATTTCTTTTACTATTGTATTTTTGTGTCTAGTTTCCCAGTGTTATCGGTAGTAACACTATAAAAATAACACGATCATACCGCTAAACGAAGTTAGCTTGTTAACCACGCCTTTGTGTCGTAATACCTTCTTTCATAAAGTAAACGTAGCGCTTTGTCGCTGGTGCTCAGGAAAAGCCTAACGAGACATTGTTGAAGCGAAAATAGAAAAAGACCGCTCCCCTAAAAAAACTTTACTGTTACCGAAGGTGTCATTGTAGGTTGTCCTATACTGTCATGTTACTATCAAAATAAAGAAGAACGTTGAGCCATCATTAACTTCGCGTTAGTTCTTCTAAAATTCCGATGATGCAGGCAGTATTACTGGTATTACAATTAATATACTAAGGGAAAATCTAAACAAATTTCAAATTTTCTTACCTTATATTGTTAATTCGTAGAGGGTTACTGACACATGATAATGTATTTTACCAGTTAGATATTTGGTAAACTCTTTTAATAAAAAAAACAAACTAATAATATAATGTCGTGCGTAGGCAGTTTTATTGTTAGCATGGAGGAAACATTACATTGCAGTGTTTCAACGTGGAGTTACTATTTATGACTAACCCGTTAGTTGTTAGTCACGTGATATCAATTAAAAAGAAACAAATATATTACAGCTTAGAGTTTGTACCTTTTGTATACTCAGATACTAATTTTTCTTTTTTTACAATTCCATAAAATACTTGGCTTGGAATTTTTAAACTTTAAAGAAATACTCCTACATAATGTTTGGTCTGTTGAGGAATTCTGAAAAATAATAAAACATACGTTAAGGAATTCCTCGGAACTTTTTATTTTAACCAACGTTTCGCCATTTCGGCTTCATTAGAGCTAGCACTAATAGTAGAACCCACAATTCCTTAGCGTAGTGACCAACACCTATTTCAAAAGTAAGGCAAGACAGGTTGTACCCAACAATATTTCTGGTGTCTATAATGCTGAAAAAATAGGATTTTTGTCCTTTTAAAACTTCAGTGCATTCTCTCAGAAAGGTGTTTCCCTGACGTCATCTTGTTTTTACGAACACGACAGCCGATTCTTTGGGAATTCGTGTACACTGAGAGAGACCAGGCTAAAAGCGCTTTCCTGAACACAAGCAAAAAACAAATAAACCAAAGGAGCTTTTAGCTCTAGGTAACGGTACTCAAAATTAAACCTCCGACAGTGTTTTAAACTGACAACTAGTATTTGTATGTTCAATGAATATTCTCTTTTCATTGTTTAATAGTACTTACATTAGCAGTATTGATTACACTGTTTAATTCATCTGTTTTTATTATATAAATCAGTTTGTATTGTTAGCTAAGTATATGTGTTTGTCTTTAAAACTAACCTAAATCTTATAAGTTTGCCGAACCTCGTGAGATATTATTGGACTTACGACGTAATATGTAACTGACAGAACGATGCATTCTAAACTTTGTATGTAGTAACATAAGAACAATATATTACTTAGTCTCATTATCGCAATGATTTTTTTATTCTTACTTAATATAATGTATTTTATTCAAATAGTTGTATAAATAATTAGTTTCTTTTAGCTCATTCACGCAATAAGTTTTCCCATAATGCACTGAAAGCTTCAGAAAGTTAGTATGCGAGTGTCGTGCTAGGCACGTTGTATTTTTGCTATTATAAGAGCCTGATGAATTATTCATATTTTTTTCGAGTGGGGCTGTATAAAATCAAAACCACCTGTTACAGTGAGGTCGAATCGAAGTCTTTACTTAGATCAGTGACATATTGTAAGGAGTTACCTCTTTCCTGACATTTGCTATTTTAACGAAATTTTTCTAAAGAAAATTTATCCGAGTAACTACTCACATATTTCGGAGAAATTATTTGATGTTTTTTTTTAATTTAACGTTTTTGTGCCATTTAAACTTTTCTTCTTTTTCTAGAAGTAATGCACTGTATGTCAACGTATCCCAAACTTTTGTGATCCACGACCCCCCTTTAATAAACATGGTTTCTTGCGTCCCCGTATTTTAAATGAGTGAATTAAGTGACGAGATATAATACACAGATACATATTAAAATACTATATATGTGTTGTAGTAATTACTTATTATTTTCATTAATAAAAAACTACATTAAAACGCATAATTTTGCATTATTCCTCTATTGACTTTAATCGCTCGCGCCCCTTAGGGTGGGCACCCCACACTTTAGGAAACGCTGCTCTGTGATATACAGGCTGTCCCAAGAAGTTAATTGAAATTTGTCTCACCCTCTTTTTACTGTGTTACACATTTTGGTGTATTTGTATTAAAGTTGGTCGCAATACAATTTCATCCCACCCACACTTTTTGGGGTCTCCCCGTTCTGGTACTTTTTATGCGTTCTATTTTGCAGTTGACCGAGGAGATAATAATATGTATAGTTTTATTATTTACTCTTTCACTTGAGATGCGTATTTAATTATTCAATGAAGCGAATTTGTATAGGAGCTGGCTTTGTAAGCTGATAGGCTTAGCATGGCCTGATGGTTAGGGAGCTAAGTCAAAATCTGCGGATCACGGGTTTAAATTCCTGTCACCGAACATGCTTGCCCTTCCAGCTGTGGGGCCGTTATAATGTCACGATCAATTCTACTATTCGTTGGTAAAAGAGTAGTCCAAAAGTTAGCGGTGGATGGTTTTGACTAGCTGCCGTCCTTCTAGTCTAGCACTGCTTTGCGCGAAATCCAAAACAAACCAATCTAAGCTGATAAGGTGAATAACAGTTATCATTCCAATATCATCCACCATTTTGGAATAAAATTTTGTTTTAATCTTCAAATTACTGACTTATCTTTATACCGCTCATTAACGGTGGATTCCACATGTTACATCCTATTGAGTGATCGTATGTGTCAATACTCAATGTTAAAAGAAACACAGACAAAATGGATTAAATCGTACGATTTCTACATAAAATGCATACTAGACTCCAGCAGTAATTCACCGTCATAAGCAGACGGTGTCCATTGACACGATTCTAAGTTGAAGTTTCAATTTTTAGCTGCGGCATAACAGCTAATAAAATGGTTCTGAGTTGTTTTTTTTTCAAGTACAAAATTTTTGCTCATAGCTCCGTCATCTCTTGACCGATTTGAGATCTAATTACAGTTTTAGAATTTGGGGTTCAAACCCTGTAGATTGATATATTTGACCACGCTCAAGGTCTCATAGATTAATTTATTCTAATCCTGCCTGAAAGAATTTCAATATCAGGGTAGGCTGGTAGAGATCCTGATGAGTAATAAAATTCAATTGGGTATACACGCTTAGTATTGCTAGCGCACAAAAATAAAAAGGAAAAAGGTTCACAGATTACTTTATAGTTTACTCTAATCCTGCGTAAAAGAATGTCAAGTGCCGTGGCTATTGAGGATTTCCTCTTGTTTAAAGGTATATTTTGTAAATATATGCTGTTGTTTTACAGGTTTCATGTTCAACTTTTCTAAAAAGTATTATATTTTGAATATTTTTTTTTAATGTCACGCACACTATACGATACACAGCATCGTATTTGTCTATGTCTTCTGATTACGTGGCTTTTTATTAGTGGCCGCTGTTTTCGTGTACTGCTACCTACTAAATAATAAGCCTAAAATCATGTGCAAACTGGTTGTCCCCACCGGAGCTCTGGTTCTAAACCCACCTGCTGAGGGCTTGACTCCCGGACCTTCTTAACGACTCTGTTGACTTATAGCTTTAACTACGCCCCTGGTAATTAGCGATTAATTGCAGAATTAACTATATTTTTGTTTCTTGTGTGTGATGAACCCACATGTAATTTTTGGTGCAAAAATAATTTATAAGTACGTATTAAAAAAAATAATCCGTTAATTCTAAAGTTAATGATAACTTATTCCGAGTTATAGCACGTGATGAAATGCGATATATAAATCCTCGTACATGTAATGTGGGGTGTTTACTCGGTATTTTAAGAATTCAAACTTTTTAAATTTTTTTAGTTGGCCAGATGCTATTGTTTTACGTACAAGAGTTATTTGTTTGTGCTATGTAAATTAGATAGCCTTTAACGTTGAATATATGAGCGTTCACTAATAGTTGCTTACGAATTTGATGAGATCACATCATTGATTACATACCTTTGAGAACCTTACTTTCGCTAGGATTCTCATGGTCTTTGAACGATTGAAAACTGTTATTTTGAATTCGTACTTCCTTTTCCTTAGTACTTTTTTTTTTGCTTTGTTGGGTGTGTGATAACGCCGATTTTTAGGCAGTGGCCTTACAGTGAGTTTCACA